GGCCCCAGGAGCCAAGGAAAAGGAGGATGGAGGGGCAGGATGAGGCCTGAACATTGCTAGGGCAGAGCAAAGGGGGCATGGAAGGGCAGGATGGAGCCATGGCACCCCCCGCTAGCAGGCAGTTTGGGGCAGGATGCGGCCATTGCAAGGTCTAAAGGGCTGGGAGGAGCGGGATGCGGTCATTGCGTCCCGAGGAGAAGGGCAGAAAGGGTTTGGGGAAGGCAGGATGCAGCCCTGGCATCTCTGCTGTTGGGGTATAAGGGGCTGGGAGGGGCAGGATGTGGCCCCAGACCCCCCCCCAGCAGCTGTGCAGCCATGGCACAGTGGGGCAGGATGCGGCCCACCCCGTGGCAGGGCAGGTGCCTGGTCTCCCTCCCTGAGCCACGAGCAGCGCCTGCCCCACCAGCCCAGGGATTAGGCCTGAAACAGAGAATAAAAGTTTCCCCTAATCCTCTTGGGGGGGATTACCAGCGCTGCCGCACCCATGGCCAAATCCAGACCTGGCCCAGGACCGGCTGCCCCAGCAGCTCCGCTGGCCCCGTTGCCTTTTAATCCATGTGTACAAGCCAGGGACGCTGTGGTCCCCAGCGCCGTCCTGCTCCGTCCCCAAGTGCCATCGAAGATGCTGTGGGCAAAGATGCTGCTGTTCATCCATCTGTCTATCCGTCCATCCATCCATCCATCCGCTGGGCTTGGGCTGGTCCCTACGTCCCCTCGGCAGCTCCCTCAGCCTCATGGGATGGTTGCTGTTCTCCCTGCGCTGGGGCTGCCACCAGGCTCTCCGCCTGCAGCAGCAGGTTGCAGCCGAGGAAGAAGATGGCGAAGGTGACGGTGAGGCAGAGCACCAGGACGATGGCAATTTGGGCAGCCTCGGCCACCCGTGTGTCCCCCCAGGCGCTGGCCTGCGCCAGCGTGGAGTTCATCTCCTCCTCCTCTTCCTCCCAGGAGCAGAGTGCTGGCGAGCAGGGCGGTGGCAGCAGAGCAGTGATGGACAGGGAGGGTTTAAGTGATGTCAGGGACCGTCTTAGCTGCCCGCACAGCCCCCCTCGCTTGGTTGAGAAGCTGGTGCCCAGCAGATGCCCCACCCTGAGGCAGGGAAGTAGCTTTGCCCCCCCCTTGGTGTAGTGGAGGAGTGCAGAGTCCTGCACAGAAGGGGGTTCGCCCCATCCCCTCCCCTGGATGTGCTTGGGGGGCAGCTGGGGCTGCCCCACTCAGGTTACCGCTCCCAGGGTGTAGGCAGTACTGATCCAGCCCAGGGGTGTCAGCCCCCCCCATCCCTGCCTCTCCCCACTGCAGCCGGTGAGCTCCACCGCACGGGGACACGGTGGGGTCCCCCAGCTCAGCCTTGGCACCCATTTCCCTCCCATCCCATGGACACTGGCCCCATCAACAACCAGGACGTGACCAGACTCCACGTGAAAGGAGAAATACTTTATTTTTGCCCCAGAGGAGGCAGTGAGCTTGTCTCCAGGCCCCGCAGGGAAGCGGCTCAGTCCCAGGGACAGGGGTGCCACCAGGGATGACATGCGGTGACGAGGCTGGCACTGGCTGTGCCGAGCAAATTGAGTTAGAGAGCAGCCGCAGGCGGGGCCGGACAGGGTTCGGACGTCATCCCCTCCCCACGCTGATCCCCAGCACCGCGCCACTGCCGCACGTGCCAACCAGCACCTCCCGCCCTGGGGACTCACCACCCCTGGGAGCTGCCGAGCCGGTTCTCCAGGATGGGCAAGCGCCCCGCAGTGCAAACCAAACCAGCAGCAACCCCCAATTAAGGACCAGGCCGAGTCCAGCTCCTTGCAGAGGCTTTTTGGAGGTGGAGAGGAGGGATCCAAGCAGAGATGCTGTCCCAAAGAGCCAGGGGCTGTGCCGGAGAGGTGCCACCATGTGGGGTGAATCTGCCTCGGTGGCACCCAGTCCTACAGAGCCAGCGTGTCCTTGATGAGCCGGCGCATGGTGGTAGTGACCGAGGTGCCCAGGGAGTCCGTGATCTGGTAGGAGATCTTGTACAGGTAAGGCTGCACGTCCTTCAGGCTGGTGTCGAAGACGTTGTCCACCTCCGACTGGGTGGGCATCTTAGGCAGGTACTCATGGCGGTTCATCACCTCTACGATGTTGATGATCTTCTCGCAGAGTTTCTCGCCCACCTTCTCCCGGCAGATCTGCCGCTCCTGCTCGTTAGCCAGGTTCACCACATTCACCTTAATGGTCCACAGCTCCCAGGGGATGCACTCATCCGAGAAGGGCCAGCGCGACTTCTTCTTCTGGTAGAACTCCAGGGAGATCTGCCCCATCCCATCACTGCCCGAGTTGCGCAACGCGTCCTGCCGAGAGAGCATGTGGCCCTGCTCAGGGGGGCCAGGGACTGACTTTCCCTTCCCAGGCAAGGACATGGCACAGACTACAGGATTTTAAGCTCCTGCTTTTGTCCCTGATGGGTCCCCGTGGGGCTCCCTTACCTTGAACTCCCCGACGGCCTTGCGGAGGGCCCGGTCCAGCTCCTCGGAGGAGACGCGGACGTAGGCGAAGTCAATGAAGTCACAGTCCACATCCTGGGTGCCCACGGTGCCGATGGAGTAGGTGCCCTCCTTCTTGTAGTGGAACTTGCCGGTGCTGCGGTGCAGCAGGACGGTGTGGAGCACCGCCAGCATGGCCTCCTCCACCTGCCGACCCTCCACCGACACCTCCAGCACCTCCGCACGGCAATTCATGGCAGGGGTGGCTCCGGGGGGGGTGCGACAGCAGGTCCTGTGAGGGAAAAAAGGGTGTTGGCAGGGGGGTGAGTTGTGTCCCCGCTTGGGCAACAGCCCCTCTACCCACCCACCTTTACTCACCCCCTGGAAACCCTGGTGTCCCAGTGTGTGCCCTCCCCACCTCTCAGGGACCCAGGCGTCACGGTCCGGGCCCCCCCCCCCACCTCTCAGGGGCCCAGGGGTCCCGGCCGGGCCCCTCAAATACCCCACAGGGCCCCAGACGTCGCCCCCCCCTCACCGACTCTCCCCCCTCGCAGAGCTCCAGACCCCCCTCACCCTTGAGGACCCCGGCTCCCCTCGGCCCCCAGCTGCCCTCACCCTCTCCCGGGGTCCCGTCTCCCCTCACCCCCGAGGGTCCCGGCCCCCCCTCACCCTCTCCCGGGGCCGCGGCCCCCTCAGCGCCGCCGGCCGGGCCCGCACTCACCGCCCGGGACCGACCATCTGACGGCTGGGAGGAGGGAAGTGGGGCAGCCCATCTAGGTAAAGGGGGGTCGGCACAAACCATTTACCGAAACGGCGGCGCCTCCCGCTGCAGCAGCCGTGTTTCCTCAATTTACACCTCGTTTCATTAACGCTGTGGCCAGCGATACCGTTTTAGGCCGCGGTGAGGCCCCGGGAATGGAATCGCCGTTCCCGTTCCGCGGCTTGCCCCCCCCCGCATCGCTACCCGTTTGGTTCGTTCCGGGAAGGGACGCCACAGAGCTGGGCATAGGGCGGTGCAGAGCGGCTCACTTCCTCGGGGCTCTCCCAAGCGCACAGCGCCCCCCCTGGGCCGGAGGCTCCGCGGCGGTACTGCAGAGGGGCTGTGGGTCCGGTGACCCCCGGTGACCCCGGTGACCCCCCCACCAAGGGCCATGACCCAGGACGGGGGGACAACAAGGGACAACAAGGGAAAAGGAGAGAACACGGGGGTGTACATGGGAAGAGGGGACACTGGGGCCACGGGAGCCACAGGGACATGGGGGGCACCAATATAGGGACATGGGGGGCACCAATATGGAGATGTGGGGAAAGGAGGGACACGAGGACGTGGGACAACGGGGGACATGGGGTACACATGGACATGGGACATGGGGGACACATGGACACGAGGGACAGGGGACACGGGGCACAGGGACACCGGGGATACTGGAGAAAGGGATGCGGGGGACAGAGGGATGGATGGACATGGGGGACATGGGGGACACAGGGCCATGGGGATTTGGGACACCATCCCCATATCACGCCAGCGTCCCCTGTCCAGTCTCGGCATCAGGCCGCCCACACGGCCGTGGGGACACGTGTCCTGGTGTAAATAGCAGGGAGGGCGGTGGCCATGGCATGTCACCTGGCAGAAGACCGGGCACACGTCGTGACACATGTGTCTGTGCCATGCAGCCCCCGGGGCAACCGGCATGGCTGGAGCCGGCCGCGGGGCTATTTTTACCTGGCCCTGCTGGCACCATTGGCCCCGTCCCTCCCGCCGCAGTCCCTGCCAAGGGGATGGGGACAAGGACGGGGCTGAGGACAAGGTGGGCAGAAGCCAGCCCTGTTCCGTGGGGAAGGGGACAGGGACCCACCGCCCCGCCGTGACCCCGAGGTGCCGAGGGCTGCCCTCCCTGGTGGCTTTGGGGTGCGGGTCGGCACCGTAACAGACTTTGGGACGGGCGGCTGCTGAGCCATCGCACGGCCCAGCGCGGCACGGCCGTTCCTGCCCCACGGCACAGCACAGCCGCTCCTGCCCCACAGCCGGAGCAGAGCCATGCCGTGCTGTGCCGGTAGACCACCGTGTGCCCCCTCCCCATCCCTGCTGCGCAAGGCTTTCCTTGCCCCCCCCCCCCCCCCCCTATCCCACAAACCGACCCCCGGCCGTGGCCTCGCCGTGCGTCAGCGCTCTCCCCATGGCGGGGGCGGGCGGCGAGGGGGGGGGGACACACACCACAGAGGGGCCCTTGTTGCGCGCTGCCGCGGGGCCCCCCCAGCCCAGCACCTCAATGTGGCCCTTGTTCGGCACCGGCCCTTGGTGTCCCCATTAACATTTGCTCCGGGGCCAGGCCGTCCCCAGTAAGAGGAAGGGGACAAGCCAGGGGAACGTGCCAGCCCAGCACGTCCCCCCCCCCCCGCACGGGGACCCATGTCCTGTCCCCCGCTCCCTGAGACCCCCCGCCTGGGACAGGGACCCCAAACCCCATCACCGCCCTCCCCTGCCGCTGGGGCTGACCCTGCCAATGGCCACATCCCTGGGGACACAGGGAGGGGGGGACCCGGTCACGCTTCCCGGTTATTTTGGGGAGGATAAATCAGGCGGGCAACAGGTGTGGGGCCACGGCAGCCGCCGCCGCGGGGGTGAGTGACGGTTCAAGGGCAGCGGCGTGGGCAACGTGCAGCTCCGGCACCCCAGCTGTCCCCAGCCCCAGCCTGCTGTCACCCCCCCTTCCAAATCACCATATATTAAATACAGATGATATTACTGGGGAGACGCACGAGAGAAACAGCCCCTGTCAGTGGCTCTCAATGTACGTACAAGTTTATATACAGAAAAAGGCCAAAAGAGGAGGAAAAAAAAAAGAGGAAAAAAAAAAAAAAAA